CTATCTATCTATCTATCTATCTATCTATCTATCTATCTATCTATCTATCTATCTATCTATCTATCATCTGCTCATTTCAGTATTTCATCCCAGAGCATGGGGAGAAAAGTCAAACCATGTGTCTTAAATACTATATTTTAAAGTCTAATTGCTATGTTGAATAACTTTGCTTAGTTTTCCTTTAGGGAATGAACATCTAATTATATCCAATATCATCTTATTTATATTGTCTGAGAGAGAAAACAGCTTGCTAACATACAGCTGGTAGCACTTATAAGATAAATGGATTTCAGCTTAGATCATGACCTTTCTGTTGTCTGAATTCTGTCCAGATTCTGATTAAAAAATAAGAGGCAAGATGTAGTTGCCAACTTTCTCTTTGTTTGGGCAATATTCCAATGCCTTTAATAGTAGCTTGGCCTGCAAGCATTTAGTAGATGAAACTTTTGATACCATTTCATCTACTGCTATATTTTTGCATCTTGTGTAGTTGTTAAAAGTACAGATACCTGCCAAAAATGGTTAACTATCCTAGATGGAGGTCTCACAGTCGGCTTGGTGATGTTCAACAAGATAGCTGTACCTGGACTTGAACTCATGCTCCTGTTCTTTACCTTCTGTGTGCTGATGGCATTAATCAACCACATCAAGTTGGTTCACATCTAATCAATTATGGGAGTTTTGGGGGGGGGAGGGTGCGGAACACTGACTTGTGGGACAAGAGAGAAAGACTGAGGGCTCTATCCTTTAGAGAAACTTTTCCCAGAGGTATTGGGCTATAATTTTCATCCTCTCCAGGCAGTATGATCAAAGTTTTCATCCAAAACTTCCATCAGAGCACTGAGCTGTGGAAAACGGAAATGAATATGTATGCACAACTATTGTATTCTCAAGGGACATTTGGTTCTCTTGACAATGTCCTTGAGGCTGGAAGTTCATTTTGCTATATACCGTGGCTGTGCAGCACTTCATATTTGAAGAGAAAAAGGTGCTTAGGAGTGCCTGGCTGTGTGTGTGGGTGCATAGTGTCTGTCTGTAACTCCTTAAACCAAACTCATCTTTTTCCCAGGCTTGTGCTGCAGCTGCAGCTGCAGAGGGCAGATGTGTGATCCCAGAAAAAGATGCAGCTACTTTCAGGAATTGCAGATGGGCTATGGGAGCAGCTTGACAGGTTCTAAAGCATTTTGTCCCTTCAAATCTGAAGCATTGCACAAACATACTGTACCCTGGGACTTCTAGCCAAAGGTGGTGCTATGTAGCACATAGTTACAGATCATGTGATGTGCATGTGATCACATTCAGGGTTGCTAGGGCCTGGAAACACTGTGTTTGGCTCTAAGGTTGTCTCTTCCTGGTCCTCTTTTGAGAAGGAATTTTGAGACAAGACCATGACACAGGAAAACACTGTATTATATTCTGGAGGCTGCTTTAGGAAGAAAATTATTTTAAAAGAAGACTAAGAACTTGATTCAGTTGAATGATAAAATAAGTAAATAATGCAGTTTTATGGAGCCATAAAGATTAAAATGATCCCCAGGACTATTATATCAGGAAAGGTTGCAGATAAATAAATAAATGGGGAAACTTATTGGACCTAGGTGGATGTAGCTTTGGGTTTTCCCTTGAAAATGTTAAATACCTCCCTCTAGAAATTAGGCTACCCTCCTTATGATGGCCTTCCAGAAGTCACAAGGGCATATGGGCAGACTGTTCACATTGGCATTTGGATGGTTATTTATTTACTTATTGTGTCTTAATTGTTGGTTTGATTTTGATTAAAAACTGTATTTTGGTATATTGATATAAGCCACCAAGAGTTGGCAGCATACACGTTTTAACAACATTTTCTCCTTCTTCTCCTTCTCCTTCTCCTTCTCCTTCTCCTTCTTCTTCTCCCTCTCCCTCTAAATACTCCTGTTTTAACAGCTGTTTGATCCATATCTATTTGTCCTGTGCACTTAATCTCTTGCACTTTCAGTGACTTTGGAGCCAAGTGAAAAGAATATAGACCTCTCATAACTTCCTAGCCATTGCACATATCATTTTGGAATCTTGCAGGTTTCATTGGAATTTGGAATTATACAGGTAGATCTCAATTTATGACCATTCATTCAGTGACTGTTTGAAGTTATGACAGAGCTGAAAAAGGAGACTTATGGATGGTCCTTGAAGTTGTGGCTGTCCCAGCATCTCCATTGACATGTGATCGTGATCTGGGTGCTTAGCAACCCAATCGCACTTACACTTGGTTGCCAAGTGCCCTGCAACCCATGATCACCATTTGCAAACTTCCATGCCAGCTTTCCCAAAGGGGAAGCTGGCAGGGAAGATCGCAAGTCTCTGGGGTAAGTCTCCCCCACTGGTGTGGTGTCCTCCAGGCCCTCTGCACATGCACCATGCCAGCCACTCATGCATCCCTGTGCACCCTCCCTGACCTACACAGCACCTCTTGCGCACCCCCACGCACCCTTCCTGACCCATGCTGCACCATTCTGCACCCTCCCTGACTTGTGCCTCACCCCATGCACCCTCCCTGACCTGCACAGCATCTCTTGTGCACCCCCATGCACCACCGCACATCCTCTCTGACCTGCGTGGCACCTCTTGTACACCCCCTCATTCCCTCCCTCACCTGGCAGCAGCCACTTTCCTGCCTGCCGGCCTAGGACTTGCAACTTCCTGCTGGCTTCCCCACTGACTTTGGTTGTGGGAAGCCAGCAGGAAGTCTCCTTGCCTAATGACTGTGGGATTCAGTTAACGATGGCAACTGGGACTGCAGGGATTGCTGTCACTAAGTGATGCAGTCATGCTTTACGACCGCATTGCTTAGCGATGGAAATTCTGGTCCCAACTGTCGTCATAAGTTGAGAACTACCTGTAATTGTTTACAACAAATAAAAGGGAGATACTTTTTTTTTGAAAACTTCAAACAGGTAAAACCGAGTGAAATCTGATTCTATTCAGATAAAATTGATTTGAAATTCCAAGAAGGCTCTACTTTTCCTACTTTTTTCCCATTTCTGTCAATAAATAAAAACTTTGAACAAACTACAGCATCTGAAATTTGGTGTGTTTCATCCCCTCACATAGTATTCTTGAAGATGACAAACAGAAAAAGATATAGTTTGGTGATTTGAATGGTAGTATATAGCATTCAGTTTAGTGAATTAAGGTTTAGATTTTGCTGCCAGTCAATTCAAGGGGACGTGACTTTTCTTCTAAATTGATGAATGCTGTGATTTACTTCTGGTATAAACTGGATTTGAGAATCAAACCAACACAAATAGAATGAAACATGGTAAAAGCATCTTATGATGCTCATCTAATAGTTAAACAGCACCAGTGCTATAAGTGAAATTAGTTAGAATGTTTCCCATTGACGTTCCTTTAAGTAAACATGGTAAGCATGGGGCTGAAAGCTTGCTGGTTGCCTTTCCCATTCAGCTTGCTTTGCAAATAATCTTGCTCCTCTCCTCTCAGCTTGTGAAACTAAGTCTGATTACTTGTATGCACCCCTCCAAGTGATTTGCAATCACCTCAGAAACCCCTCCAAAACCGGCATCACAGGCTGAAGAGTGTGACAGCGTAGTTCATTCCATCTGGAGAAATTTCAGAGAGGTCCATCCAATGAGACCAATAAGGACAGACCTTGAGGCATCATCCTGGCTAAATGCCCTCCCCCCCCCCCCCCCCCCCGGTTAGGGCTAATGTGAAGTAATGTGCCAGGCATCTTTGTTAAAGCTGTAGTATCTAGCTGACCTTGGTTGATCTTGGGGTTGGAAGCAGATCTTTTTAAAAAATATAA